ATTAAGTTGTGTATTAGATGCACAGAATAGACCTCAATAAAGTTGATACTGGTGTTAGAGCTCTTTTTATTTGTTTTAAAATAACTGTGTTAAATTCATACTTGTCTGCTTGTTTTGTTTTTATTATCAACTTAGCAGTAAGGATTTTAGTTTAACTTGAAACTAAAGGATCCCTTGTTCATATTTTTGTCTTCAGTAGAGATTAAAAGATGTTAGTAAACCATACTGATTGATACTTCAATTGCCTGGATATTAATAAAAAAAGAAGACTGCATTTCTGTGTAGCAATAAGAGTAATTTTCTTATGAGAGTCTGAATGCTTTACAATTACCAAGCTATTTGGCAGATCTTGGGAGACTGAGAAGTAGTGCACAATTTTTTGCTTGAAAGACAAGGCAGCCACTAAACTGCTCTGAGGAGCCTGTTGCATGGGTACCTACATCTTTCCCTCAATGGTGAGACTGCACAAAATTTAAATACAAGTATATTTTTTGGTAAGAGGGGTGCAGGAAGGTATTCTTGTGTGCCAAACCATTGTGTTCCCCAATATAAATAATTTCCTAATCGTAAAGATTAAATTAATTAATTAAAGAAAGTAAAATTTTACTGTAAAACAACTTGAACCTCTGAGGACACAAACTGTGGCTGATAAACTGTTAGATCATAGGCTAATGTCTTAATTCCTGTCTCTGTAAGGATCATGACACTGGCATTCTTTGTTAAGTGTTCTGGCATTCTGCAGAAGAAGGGTGTTTGATATGTATCTACATATAAAAAGTACATACAGAAAAAAATACATTAATGGGATGTTGTTCCCATTTTATAAGACTCTCGTACACTAGAAACAACTCTGTGTTACTCCAATCTACTAAACACTGTATTTGTATTGGAAGGACAGAGCTAACTGTATTAAGTTTATTTAGCCAAGGGTTGATGAAAGGAAGCTGTTAGGTGATAAAAGTTTGTATGCATACCCACAAACGAGTGCAGGAAACAAAGGCAGGAGAGGGTGGGGGAATGAAAATAATACCCTGCCCTAGCTACTCTTCAGCCTGTCACAGAAGCCATTAGCTAGCCCAGCAGAGGCCCAGCTACACAAGTCAAGGTACACAGAGGCAGGTAGGGAACTGTCTGAGGAGCCTGTTGCATGGGTACCTACATCTTTCCCTCAATGGTGAGACTGCACAAAATTTAAATACAAGTATATTTTTTGGTAAGAGGGGTGCAGGAAGGTATTCTTGTGTGCCAAACCATTGTGTTCCCCAATATAAATAATTTCCTAATCGTAAAGATTAAATTAATTAATTAAAGAAAGTAAAATTTTACTGTAAAACAACTTGAACCTCTGAGGACACAAACTGTGGCTGATAAACTGTCAGATCATAGGCTAATGTCTTAATTCCTGTCTCTGTAAGGATCATGACACTGGCATTCTTTGTTAAGTGTTCTGGCATTCTGCAGAAGAAGGGTGTTTGATATGTATCTACATATAAAAAGTACATACAGAAAAAAATACATTAATGGGATGTTCCCATTTTATAAGACTCTCGTACACTAGAAACAACTCTGTGTTACTCCAATCTACTAAACACTGTATTTGTATTGGAAGGACAGAGCTAACTGTATTAAGTTTATTTAGCCAAGGGTTGATGAAAGGAAGCTGTTAGGTGATAAAAGTTTGTATGCATACCCACAAACGAGTGCAGGAAACAAAGGCAGGAGAGGGTGGGGGAATGAAAATAATACCCTGCCCTAGCTACTCTTCAGCCTGTCACAGAAGCCATTAGCTAGCCCAGCAGAGGCCCAGCTACACAAGTCAAGGTACACAGAGGCAGGTAGGGAACTGAAATTATGGACTTGGATAAGGGGACACCCTGTTAGGGCCCTTCCCAAGGCTGTCTAAGGAGAGAGACAGCCCTATTGTCTAGTCAGGAAACCCATCACGCTGAGTGAACACCAAGGCACCTTTTGTATTGCAGGGAGTAAGTGCCCAGCACTGCAAGATGTGTTATGAGATGCAAGGGAAGAGGCTTATTATGTGGTGTTTAGGAGAGAAACTAAAGGTGCAGGAAGGGATGAAATGAGGCAATTTGAAGAACAAGTGTGGGGAAAATAGAGAGGAAAGGGAACAAAAGAGCCAGTTAGGTATAAATAGCTTGAGGATTGGTACATTTGTCTGGCCATGCCCTGTTGCTAATTAGACCAGTCTATTGTATCTTCATATTAAACCACATTCCAACTGCCTCATGGGGTGCAGGGCTCTCTACTCCCTGTGTTTGGGAGGTGGGTCTAAGTGCCAGCAACTGGAGTCAAGACTCTATTACAGGGCCTGGGTGTCTGTGGTGCCAGCAACAGGAGAGATCTGAGTGGACTTGAGTGCCAGCACAGGAGTGGGACTGTGAGTCAGAGTGGTCTGTGTGTCCATTCTGCCAGCACCTGGAGCAAATGCAGGTGTATGAATGTGTAAATGCTATCAGGGATCAAGCCAGACTGGCTGTCCAGTAGGCTGTGTGGCCTGGGAGCCATACATATATATGGGTCCTGCTAGTAGACCTCTCTCATGCTCATCCAGAGATGGGAGTGGGATGAGGCTGCTGTCTCAGCCAGCACTCTGTGTCTCTGTGATCTGTGTGGCTGGCTGTGGATACATGCTGTGTGCAGGTGCTTACTGGGAATACAGCTCCAGCCACACCTCAGCTTGGATCTGGGGAGCAGGGCTGCAGCAGCCTTACTTCGCTCGTGCTGTCTCATCAACTGGATGTACTTGCTTTTAAAAGAAGCAAGCAAAACTTAGGCAATATTGTAAAAGTTGCACTTGCTCAACTTTTCTGAAGACATTTAGCTTACTATTCTTTGGTCTCAAAAATTTTTAGAAGCCCAAAGCAATCCTCCCATCAAACTGCCAGCTTTCAAATATTATAACTAATATTCTCTTTTGCCTTGCAGAATAAAAAAAGCTATTTTTTCAAGCTGTTTGTTGTGAGTAGGTAACTCATGTTCTGTACAAAAGCTGTAAGATGTCTAAGCAAACACCTCTTTCCTTAAGATAAAGAAGTGTACTGACCCAGTTGATTTTGGAAGTATTTCCAGAAGTAATTTTTGTGTTAAAGTGTTACTGACTTAAAGACTGAATGGTGTCTTAAAACTGGAAAAAAATGCTCTCCAGTTTTTGTTTCTTTGGTGACTAATGATTCTAAAATAATTGCACTAAAAACATTCCATTTAATGTAACACTTAGCTCTATAGGCCTAAATGTTAACATTGGCTGTCTAGAATAATTCAGATAAAAACTTTAATAAACTTTTTTCTAATTAATGGAACACAGTATTTTGCTAAATGGCCACAGGAGTCTTGGCTTCTTTATTTCCATGCTCCTTCTGCTAAAGCTTTTCCATTTGGCAAGAAGGGATTTTTCCCATGATACTTACAGTCCTTAAAAGTGATTTATTTTTGCATTTGTGGCTATTTGCTGAAACAGGCCATTATTCATATACTTTATCCATATGGAAATGAGCAAACAATCTGCTGGTCACAAATACCATTAAAAAAAAAAAAAAAGAGTATCACTTGGTAACAGAGTAGGATGAGGAGTTGACTGGATTAGGATTTATTGTTTCTTCTGTGTTGGCTTTCTTGCTGATTTTCTCTTTTGTCAATCAGACAAGAAAAGCCAAGACTTTTATTAATAATTCTAAACTAAAATTTTGTCAGTACACAAAATACATAAAGAAAAACACTTGTCTACAACTGAAATCTTGTATTTGAAATTTAATCAAAGTGAAATTGTCCCTCCAAATTGAAAACACTTAATTTGTTAAACTGATGGTAACTTAAAATATACATCAATTTATCAATCAATGGAATCAATTTATCTTAAAGCATCTGTGCATTCAGTTTATTCTTGGTTAGGTCTTACTGACAGGATTTGTTAAACTACACCAAAGCATGACAACCTAGTGCATATCTGAATGCATCTTAGTAACTAAGATACTTTTTGATTCATAAAACAACTGGTTTTGCTTTGCATGTGGTAAAGTGACTGTGAGGCTCATAGGAAACTGACTCATAGCGGAAAGCTTTCTCCAGCAGGCCCTGCAGAAGAGGCACAGTTGCCAAGAAGCTATCTGGGTTCATTTCCATAGTAACCCATCAATATAATTGTTTATTTTCTAAAGGCTTTACAGTTGAACCAAGAATCTCAGAAACGTAGAGATTGCTCTTAAAAGTGAAATATTTTGGTTGTTTGACTTGGGTTTGGTTTGTTGGGGTTTTTTTTGAATGAGAGGAATAACTTGCTGGTGCTTTTCTTCACACAAAAATTACCTTCATTAAAATATGTTAAGTTTTTCTTTGTATAATGGAAATAGAAGAACTGCTGGAGGGGGAGGTGGTTGGGGGCTTTTTTGCACATTGTGTACAGATGTTTCAAATATCTTGTTTTTTTAAAACAACGGGACAATGTGTTGGTGAAAGAAACTAATGGTACTTTCTTGAGGTTGTTATGAGGAGGAAAGGGTTTTCCTGGTTTTATCCCATTTTAGTTCTACAAGAATTAGAGCATCAACATCTATAGCTGAGGCATTTTTACTGTAACATTTAATTTCTTGTTTGTAAGAGAACTTAAAAACATAATAGTCCTATTTAATGCTTATAATAAATTTTGACCTGTGATATGACTCGAATGAGTCTACCAAAAGCATAATGTTTTTGTGCTTTCTTCCTTACTTGAACAATGCTAAACATACAGTAGTACTGGTATGTTAAAATATACTCAAGATCCTTAAAGGTTTTAAGGACACTTACAGTAGATGTTTCATCTATCTTATATTTACAAGCAAAAATACAACATTTAATGCTCACTATGTTATTTTTTACTATCATGTTAGTGATTTCTGGAATACTGTACAACTGTACAATATAAAGCTGCTTTTGGCTGCAGTTTGCTATAGAGGTGGAAAGCTGTTCTGAAAAGTAGAAACATAACCTGAACCATAATACCGATGAATTCAAAGATCTTGGTACATTATTTTGACCTCATGGGTTTACAGAAACATCTAGAAAATAAAATGCATTATTTGTGGGAAAAAGAATTAATAACTGGAAATCTTACAGATGTAAAAACACTAAAAGAAGTTAGTGAAATGGTAAATAGAAGAAGCAGCTCTTACTGGTAATCCCAATGGTATCCTGGCTGACAAGGAAGGTTGGCAAGGGTGATGACAACTATCCTACCTGTATGATGAGTAGATGTTATGAGAAAGGATTTAATGAACTTTATGGATGACAAGTGAACACTTTCGGTCTGGTAGCATTGTTTTATAATCTTACAATAAATAGCAGAAACTCTGCATTGCTTCTAGCTTTCAAAAGGAACTCAAGACTGGAGTGTTTTGTGCATATTATTGGATGCATAGCAATGTACAAATGCAGGGTCCCTGTGGATTCATGGCCATAGCTGATCTGAGACTAGTGATAGAGTTTAAGTCAAAACATTGTTAAGACTTCTTGCTTTTTGAAAGTTTGCATAATTGGATGCATTTTAGTGTTGATTAGATATTTTTAGCAAGATTTAATTTCAGTAACCCTTTAAAGTCCATTAAAACAGACAGCTAGATAAAACAATCACTCCATTTAGGCAACAGCATGTTTAATTAATCCCCTTAATGCAGAGGTGTTTTAATTATACTGGTGTGCTAAAAATGAGATCCTTACTCTGTGCTAAAACTACATATAAAATCTGATTCTGGGAATTTTTATGTCTATGCGCTTGGATTATTTTGGGAGGACTAATACCAGTGTGCCAAAATGTGCTGGCTTTAGTGAAAGGAAATCTTGACCAACCATATCATTTAGGTGCATTCACATTCACCTTCACTCAGTCTTTTTAGCCTAACCAGCTCCTGAAAGTTAACTACTAGCAGGGTTGACAGTAAGCAAGTATTTTGGGTTCTGTCTATTGTATTTCAGTATCAATGCAGGCCTGTTGCTTCTGATGCTCACAAGAGGACATGAGTATTGTTTCATAAGAACTTCTAGATTTCTCAGTCTATCCTGATAGAACTGTTGACAGAAGGATCAGAGTGCTACAGTGAATTTAATGATTAAAGGTAGTGACATAAATAGCTTTTCTCTATTTGCAGCAGAAGTTTGTAACTAGCCAGCTCATCAAAAAGGTAAAACTGATTTTGGTGGGATGGTGTTTTTAAAAGAGAAGGTCTTTTATTTTTTTGCTTTTAGGATAAGCTCAGAATGTTACTCAGAAAAAACAAGTACTTTAAAAAAAAAAAAAAAGGAGATTTCATTTCTAAGTTAGTGGATGACTGTGATCTGCAGGAGAAAAAAAGTGTTCTCGGAAGCTGTGTTATCTTTTAAGCACAGTGTCTGAAACCTGCAAATATGCAGACCCCAGATACCCATGCACTGGGATAGCTGAGTTCTGCTGGACAGCAGACATCTCGCTGTTTTCTTTACCTGAGAGTTGAGCAAATATCACATAAGTGCTATGAGGTATTCCTGGGCCTTCCAAGTGTTGCAAAGGTTAGCAACGATCAAATACCCTTCAAGGCTGTGTTTTATCTGATGACTTCTTGCTTATGCCTGTTTCCAATACAGGATGTAACTATTAGTAATCTACCTTTTTTGAATTCAGGTTCTATTTCCAGTTTAAATAACTCATATACTGGCAGTTCGGGATATTTCTTTTTTCCAAAGCACAGGAAGGTTTACAATATAAAGATAAAAGGTAGGTTGCTCATGGTGTACAGAGCATGTTCCCTTAAGGTCATGTGCTTGAATGTGACTCAATGTTGTATCATCAGAAGCCGTTAGTCTGTTGTGGTTGTTGAACTGACTCATTTCAGGCAGTTTATTCCTACCTTGGAAAGTCACAGTGCTAGTGAGCCATGCAGCTGGAAATCTCACCAGCACAGCAAATGGCAGCTTTTGCAAGACCCTTGTGTTTCATCATTTCTCCAAGGCTGATAAACTCTGGCTCCAGAATTCTACCTCTGTTAAAGATGTGAGACTGGATCTTCAGAAGCTGTAAGAATATAATAAAAATAAGCTGTAAGAATATAATAAAAACCATAGGAATGTATGTATTAGAAAAATGGAAGAGAAAGAAAAGGACAAATATTACTTTAATATGTGAAGACTGTAATTGAACAATTAAAATGTTAGAAGAAACTACCCCAGTTTCTCCACAGTTCTGACTTAGTAATGTGGGACTTTTGATCATTGAGGTAGGTCCCTCATAATCACAGTGCTTATGTCCCGTTATTCACAAACTGCCCAACCTTTTCTTTAAAGACAGCAAGATTTTTTTTTCTCCTACCTCTCTTATTTGAAGGCTGTTCTAGAAACTTGCTCTGTGGTTTAGGATCTTGTACTTTTCAATTTTCAATGGGTGTTTGATTATACCTTATTTTGGTCCTAACTACTTTTCATTTGACTTAAACTTACTTGTTCTCTAAAGTGTTTAAATTACTTAGTGTATTTTTATTACATGTAATTTTTTCTATAAGATACAGGAGTTTTATATTTGTCCTCCCTGTACTTCTTAATTTTGGAATCTGTTCTTGCTCAAGCAGAGTTACATTAACAGAGTATTCTGCTTGAGTCTTATATAATATTAATATAGTTGAAAGCATCCTACATTTTGCCTTTTTCTCAGCTGCATCACACTGTCAGGTCGTAATCCTACTGCGATGAACAAATCTGTTCAGATATTAGTTGTCTTATTTTGCTCTCAAATGGCAAGCTCCCAGTTATGTAGCTGAAATTCTTGCTTGTTCCAAGTGCCTTACTTTGTATCTGGTTATTGTACATCACCTCCTTTGTACTCTTCCAGGCTTCATTTATCTCGCTCTGCTTGCTTGATGCTCCCTTTCTCTGTATTGAAAAACTACTGTCAAAGACAGCATCTTGAGCACATTCCAAAGCCCAGCAGCTTGGAGACAGTGCCTGAGAGCTAATGTTCAGGAAGACTCCACTCTCCTGAGGCAAACTGGACAAGTCGCAGTCTTGTTCATTTGCAAAAAAACCATGGCTGTTGAAATTTTCTGTAGGTCTAATACTATGTTCAAGTTCTGAAAAAGTTATTTGCCTTGCTACTTCAAGAGAAGAGTGAAGGATGATTATTCAGTCCATGGAACAACTTTAGCATGAAGTGACCGCTCTGCACTGGTTCCTGTACCTTGAGCTGTACTATTGCATTTTATGATCCCAAATGTGTATGCACCTGATACATCCATATGTTCTCTACTTGCAGGGAGGTAGTACAGGCAAACTGTGTCCGCTGGAAGAAGAAGTTCCTGTTTATGTGTAAAATCAGTGCCAGTGCCACAACAGGGATTCTGGATGCTTGTGTTTGCAGGGTGTCTGTACGCAAGGTTAGTACCTCTTTTTCCCTTCTCTCCTCTT